GGCGGTGTGCATTGTATTTGTGTTTGTGGTTATGTTTGGCCTTTTCCCCTTTAAACAATAGCTTTGAGGTTCATTCGTGTTATTGGGTGTATGAGTAGATCATAGCTTTTGGTCTGAAGCATTTCACTGCATAAACACAATGCAGTGTTTCCATTCTGTTGATCAGCATTTGAGCTATTTTCAGTTTTTGCCTATTATGATAAGAATTGCTATGAACATTCTAGCTAGAATTTAGTACAAGACTTCCATGGATAAGTATTTTCATTTCATTTGAGTAAATCCCTAGGAGTGGAAAGGTGGATCATAAGGGTAGATGTAAGCTGAGCTTTGTAAAGAAACTCCCAAATGGTCTGCCAACGTGGTTCCTTTCACACTTCCACCGGCAATCTTTGAGAGTTCCAATCACTCCACAGACTCTGCAACATTTGCTGTGGTCAGTCTTTTTTATTTTCGTCATTCTGGTATCACATTGTGGTTTTCATTTGCATTTCCCTGATGACTAATGAACTCCTTTCGTGAGTTTCTTTAGAATTTTTTTTAAAGGTAGTTCCTCTCCCCTTTGCTACCACGTAGCTTTCAGCCTCCATGATTTGAAGGACTGTTGAATAAACGAGGAAGGGAAAATGGAAGGGAAAACTGAAAACTGAAGCTGGAGCTCTTTTGATTCCCACCAGAAATCAAAAGAGCTCCAACTACAAAAGCATGAGTTCAACCTGGGAACCTTCCTCTTCACTTTTGTTTCCCAGGACTGTGGGGGGTAAGGATGTGCTCCTCTTCTGAGGAAGCCAAGATCATGTTTTAATGACAATAATTTTATCTGGATTGAATAATCGTTTTCATTGCTCCCATCTTAGACTACTGCTATGCTGTAGGCACCATATATATACCACAATGTGTCTAATTTTTCAATAACCCTGCAAGGTTGTTATGATCTCCATTTAGTGAACTTTGAAAGTCAGAGATGTGAATTCCTTTGCCTAACACCACATAGCTACATCTCCATAGAATCAGATTCAAAATGTGACTGCTCCAAAATATCACATTCACCAAGCTGCCTTACACACACACACACACACACACACACACACACACACACACACAGAGAGAGGAATATTATTCGGCCATAAAAAGGAACAAAGTGCTGATATGATACAGGAACCTCAGAAACATCATGCTAAGTGAAAGAAGCCAGACACAAAAGGTCACATATTGTGTGTGATTCTATTTATTCAAAATATCTAGAATAGGTAAATCAATACCTATCCACAGATAGTAAATTGATGGTTGCCAGAGGTTCAGGAGAGAGGAGAATGGGGAAAACTGCTTAATGGGGCTTTTTTTAGGGATGACAAAGTTAATTTGGAACTAGATGGGGTGGTGGTTACAGAACATTGTGAATATAATAAATGCCACTAAGTTGTACACTTTAAATAGTTCGTTTTATGTTTATTTACTTCAATAAGATTTTTAACTCCACTCTAGAGTAATTTTACTATTAGTGAAAGTGGTGATTTAGTCCTTTGGGTAATGATGGCTCCAGAACCTGGGCCCAGTCTCCTCTCCCCTCCCCACCTCCGCCCCACTTCCCGAGAGCCCTCCTGGAGAATTCCAGGGTGAAAGGGAGGAGGCAGCAGGATGACTCAGAGAGTGGGGCCCAAGGTCAGGCTGCCTGAGTTCATTTCCAGGTACCTCCATGCGTCAAGTGTAAAATGGGGATGATCGTGTTACCATCCTCAAGGGGTTGCTGTGATGGAATCATGTACACAGAGTGCCTGGGCACATGTAATGCTTATTCAATAAGCTATATTGCTGGGGCAAGCCACCTTCTCCTAATATTATCCACACTGCAAATATTTCTTGAGCATCTACTACCATTTCCCCGAAAATTAATTTTTTTTCTCCCAAAGTTGCGCTAGATCTTATTTTCGGGGAAACACGGTATGTGCCAGAGGCGATGGGGACTCATCTACAAGCAAGAACAATAAACTCCTTTTTTCTTAGAGCTTACTTTCCAATTGAGATACAAAAAAACATACCAAGTAAGTAAAATACATAGTATATTGGATGATGGTATATGCTCAGAAGAAAAAATGAATAAGGGATAGGGACAGGAAGTTTTGGGGAAAGGTTACAATTTTAAATTGGGTTTGAGAAGGCTTCCCTGAATAATGATCTGAGGGAAGTAAGGTATATTCATTTCCTGTAGCTGCTGTAACAAGTACACAAACTTAGTGGCTTAAGACAACCCAAATGTAGTGATTTACAGTTCTTAAGGTCAGGAGCCCAGAATGGGTCTTGCTGGGCTAAAATCGAGGCATTGGCAGAGCTGTTTTCCTTCTGGGAGCTCTAGGAAAGGTCCATGTCTTGTCTCTTCCAGCTTCTAGAAGCCGCCCACATTCCTTGGCTCATGGCCCCACATTACTCCAACATATGCTCCCATCACCCCATCTCCTTCTTTTTGACTTTCCTGCCTTTCTCTTTTCTGTATAAGGACCCTTGTCATTTTATTGGGCCCACCTGGATAGTCCAGAATAATCTCCCCATCTCAAGATCCTTAATTTAATTATACCTGCAAAGTCCTTTTTACCATGTAAGGTGGTAGTCACTGTTCCTCAGGACTAGGATATGGACATCTTTGGGGGCCATTATTCTACCACTTGGGGCATAGTGTCTAGAGAAAGTGGGAACAGCAAGTTCAAAGGCCCTAAGGCAGCAGTTGCCTGTCATGTTTGAAGACGACGGTGGCCAGTGAGGATGCAGTAGAGTGGGTGAGGGAGGAGTGATCTCACAAGGTCAGGAAGGTGAAGGAAGTGGAGTGGCACTTGCAGACTTCAGCCTTTACTTGAAATGGGAGCATGTGAGGGACACGAACTTACGGGCTTTAACAGCATCCCTCTGGCTGCTATGTTGAGCACAGTCTGTCATGAGGAGGTTGCTGCACTATCTGGGCAAGATGATGGTGGCTGGACCATGGTAGTAGAGGAAACTGGTGACATAAGGTCTCATTCTAGATTGTGACGGTCAAGTAACAAGGAACCACTTAAGGGTCAGAAGTGGAGTGTCACAGAACGAGGGGAGTCAAGGATGACTCCAAGGTATTTGACCTGAGCAACTGGAAGAATTAAGTCCGATCTTTAAGATGAGGAAGACCACAAAAAGATCAGATTTGGGACAGCTGGTGAGAGATCTGGGATTTGCTTTGAGATGCATGTGAGTATGCAACCGAGTGGGAAGTCAGATATATGAGTCTGGAGTTTGGAAGAGAGGTCTGGAGGGATTTGTTTGAGAGACACGGTAGTATTTAAAGCCAGGAGCCTAGATGAGATCGCCAAGGGACTGCATGCAGAGATAAAAGAACCACAGGCCCCTCTGAGGAGAACCCAGTGACACTGGAGGAAAACCAGGGGAGGGTGTGGTCTCAGAAGCCAAGAGCACTGAACGTTAGAAACTGTTCAGAGTAAGTATGGAATGGGGAGGGTGGAATGGAAGATGACCACCCTTGCTTTCCTAGGCAAACAGCCTCTCTGGGAGATTATTTAAGGGAGACGGACCTTAAATTCTTGCCAGGCCCACTGCAGCAGTGCAGGGACCCTCACGGCACCAAACCTATTGACACTCACTGAATATTTGTTAAATCCTGAGGAAAGAGCCATGGACTTGGGCCCAAGTCTGAGTTCTGGCACTCTCAGGAAGTCAGGGTTTCAGTTTCCCCTCTCCAAAATGGAGGTGATACATGCTCACTCCTTAAGCTCCCACTCATCAGACATTTGGGAAAGTGTTTGGCAAACTGTAAACCAGCTGGGTGAATCGGACTTAAGTCGAGGCTTTTCCTCTGCAGCTGACGCAGGTACACGGCCGGACCTGCGTGACCCACCCCACGCCACGTGAGGCCTTTGACTTGGTTTTTCTCAAGTCACTCTCAGGACAAGCAGCTCCTTCCTCAGGCAACGGGAACTGGGAATGAGTGGGACCTGGTCCCAGTGGAAACTCTAACACATACACGGACATTCACAAGTGTTTCCAATGACTAAAGACCACACAAAGCAGCTGGCTAAACCCTTCCTGAAAAGTTTTCCTGGGATGACTGCAGAGCTGCCCTCACCCTCAGCCACAATGTCCCTCCTCTCCAAGGTGAGCCCCTCCTTCACCCCTAAGGCAGGGACCAGGCTCCCCCTTTCCCTCAGCAACAGACAGCACACAGGAGGTTCAGCATGCAGGCCAGTTTATTCACATTCACTTCCCCGAAGACTTTCCCACACTGGTCAGAGAATGAAAGAATTGCGGGGCTAGGGAAGAGAAATGGGATACTGTAGAGGTGGAAGCCAAAAGGCTCACCTTGAATGTGTTGTGATGGATGAAAAGACTTTAGTCCAAGAGTGAAGGCCCACATTTCAGAGACTCAGAAAGTTGGGCCCAAGAAACACACACTCATTCACCCAAACCTCTTCCATCTGCGAGAAGAGAACCAGGCATTGCCCTGACTCAGGTTTCCTGCTGGCTCTCACACCAGGCAGTTTTCAGACCTGGCCATAGCACTCTGGCCATAGCCATGGTGTCTTGACCTAAACAAAGCAGGTGAGGCCTGGCTCCACCTCACAAGCGGAGGAGACAAAGGTGACTGACTGATTAGCAGGTCTGCGGTGCACAAATGATGGGAGAGGGCAGTGCGTGTCAGCATTAGATAATGGCTCTGAAAAGTAGTGTAAATCCACAAGGTGGGTAACTAAAGGCCAGATCCATGATTAAGTAGAAAATATAATCTGACTGGAGTTGTGAACAGACTTCTCAGACAGTCTCTGCTCACAGGGTATTTTAGTTTTCTTGACCTAAACCACCACGGAAGCAGGAGGAAGAGGAAGTGGTGGTCTGCCCAGCTGGGACCTGGGACTGTCACGATGGTCCAGATCTCTGAGCCTGGGCGGAGTGCGGGAACAGGACGCTGAGTCCCCAGAGGGCGGCCTTCAAGGTCACCCCTCCCACCCGGCTCCACAGCTCGTCTTCTAACGCTTCTTCTTGGCCTCCTTCTTGGGCCTCTTGTTTGTGGAAGGGGCAGCAGCCTTGGGCTTCCTCGCTTCCCCGCTTCTGGGCTCAGATGGCTCTGTGTCCTGCATGGCGATAAAACAGAGTCCTGCTTAGATTAATCAAGCCTGACATCAGCAAAATGAGATCATGTCTGAAGGGACTTTGCAGACTGAAGCATGCCACAGAAACACAAGGATGGAAACCATGATGGCTGGGGCCCAGGACGGATATGTGTGCAGGTTAGTCCCTGGGAGCTGGGCAGTTCTTAGTAAAGAGAGGGGGAGGCCCTGAGGGCAGGACACAGTCTTTGGAGCCTCATAGGCCTGGGTAAAATGTAAGCTCCTTCATGTTCCAGCCAAGTGATCTTGTGGGCAATCCGCTTCCCTTTCCTGTGCCTTGGTTTACCCACCAATGAAATGGAAGTAGCGATGCACAGCTTGGAGGACTAATATAAGTAGGCAATAATGCATAAAATGTAGCTGCACCTAGTGGCTGGCTGGTCACCCTGGGCAGAGTCTGGGCAGAGTTTGGGTGAAGAGTCAGCTGTGGAGCAATGCCACTATGGCCTGCTCTCCCCTTCTGGCCCTGCTGTTCCCCCCTACCATTCAACCCACAGAATGCCAGGGCCACAGGGGTGGCGTGCTGGCAGTGTTCTGTGGAACCTGGCAGAGTACCCCATGGGGTGGGCAGAAGGCAGCTGCAGGGCAGAACTCCAGACTCTGACGGCTGGAGGAGCTCTGCTTTTATCTGTCGTATACACTGTGATTTCTTCCCAACAAGACTTGGTTTAACCAAAGGTTCTGCAGCTAAAAGAGGTTCAAACTGCCGATCCAACCCTGGTCTTGGTTGTGGTGATATAAAAGTAGGCTTTGGGGAAGGGCCTCAGCCTCTCCAGCCTCCCAGGCTCATGCCAGAAGGATCTGGCGAGGACTCAGTCCTCTCGAGTATCCCTTCCTCCCCTGGGTGATCAATCACAGTGCCACAGCCAAGCAAGATGTCAGCAAGTTCCACCCAGCTCCGAGCACTAACCACAGCTCCCAGCTCATCTGGCCCACAGGCGGACTTCACTTGGCCTACAGAGTTTATTTTTAAGAATTTAAGCCAATTGGGAGATTTCCCATTCAATCCAGATCCATAGCTTTTTTGAAAACTTTAAACATCCGGTGACACTAGCCCCGAATCCCCTTGTAGAAGAAATGGGCTGAGCTGCAGCTGCCCCTTTATTCATGTGCCCACAGCCCCCACGACCCTGGTGCCCCAACACTATTAATACAGAAAGAACATGTTTCTCAGTGCCCGTGTTCTTTTATTAAATAATTTGAAAACAAAAAAAGACTAAGAATATTAGGAGAGAACACACTTTTTCTGGAAGAGAAAAATATCTTCCCCTGTTTAATTGGACAACTCCCAGCTTCAGCTTGCTTTAAGTTCTATCCCTCCAGCTCACCCACTGGCCTCTGGTCTAAGTCTCACCCTACAGGACCTCGGCTGGGGAGGGGCAGTCCCTGCCAGAAGGGTCAGTCCAGAGGTCCGTCAGCTCTCTCTTATCAGCCAATGTTGTCTCCTCTCCACCCTGCCAGCTGAGACGTCAGAGGTAAAGGCCCAGCCTCAGCCCCAGGAACCTACAAGTGACCTTCTCAAGACGATAAGCAGGCTGGTCTCTCCTCTGGCCAAGTCTCTGATGACAACGCTGGACTTCCACAGCTTGCCCCTCTGTGCTGACACTGTTTATGTAACTTGAGAAGAAAAAAAAAGTCCCATTATAAAAGCAAACAAAACCAAACTTCAGAGGAGCCAGTGTCTCAGTGCACAGGCTGCAGGCTGCAGAGCTCAGCGGGAAGGCTACTGTTTAAGGCAAACCTCACAGGGCACAATGCCCTGGGAGACCTTGGGAGCAGTACTGGTCAGTCCCTGGAAAGCAGTCTGAGTGCCCTGGGCAAACAGACCCTGATTAGACCAATGCTTCGTGCACGGGGCACCTGCTGAGGCCTCCCAGGATCTCCAGGTGGAGCCCCACTCAGCTTCAGCGCCTCTCCGGTTCCAGAGGGGCCCCGTTTGGAATCCACAGAGAAGATGAAATCCTGATGAAGATTCCTTCATCCACAGACCCTCTCTCAGGTGCCTCTCTCAGACCTCTCCCCTGATCCAGCTCAGCTGCCTGTCGATGACTAAGACTGGAGTCTCCCAAATACCTCCACCTCAGATGTCCTACATCAAGCATGGACCCTTCTCCAGAAGGCCAGGGCCTTCCCCTCTCCCTCCTCCAACCTGTAGGCAGACCAACCAGAGTCCCAAGGAACCACCCTCTCCCTCCTCCACACCGTCTGGTTAGTCACCAAGTCCTGTGATTCAACCTTCCCTACCTCTTGACTCAGCCCCTCTTTAGCATCAGAGTCCATACTTCAGTTTCCCTCTGCTAACCAACCTCCCAGCTCTCTATGCCATTCCTGTGTACCTGCCAAAGGCATTTTTTTAAAAATGCCTCCACCTTGAACCTTCCATGGCTTTCCATCACCCACAGTCTCATGTCCCACACCTGGGATGGCATCTAAGGAGACCACCTCTCCAGCTTCAACCGTGCTCTCCTCCACCACCTCCCCTCCCTACACACTGAGTCTGGCCCCAGATTCCCAACTGGTCGCCCCTAACAAGAGGAGCACCTTCTTTCCTTGGCCTCCCAGTAAAGCCCTCCTCATGGTTTGGTTCAGTACATAGAACACTCTCCTACTCACAGGCTAATCTTCCTTCTCTACTCCTCTACTTGTAGCCAAGTACAGCCCTCCTCCACCCTACCCTGCAGGGCCGCAGGAACCTTTTAATGCCACTATTATCTTATCATAGTTATATGTTCTCATGTTGGTCTCCTCTAGTAACTTGTGAGCTCCTTTGGACAACTTCAATTGTTGCTGAATGAATGAATGAGTGAAATGAAAGAACAGGCAAGATCTCCCATAACCTAAGACTAGGCGTCACTTTTTCCATGGCACAAAGGACACGAGCAAATTTTAAACCCAATACACATAACCTGAAGCAATCAACAACAACAACAGCCACAATAGCTGCTCATATTATTTACAACTAGTGACCCAGTGCACGAAATTCATGCAGGGAGGAGGGATGGCCTGCACCCTCTCCAATCTGGGATCCATCGGAGGAGGTCCAACTACCAGTTTAGGCCCAATCCCACAGGACATCCCTCTCCCAATCTGGGACCGCTGGCTCCTAACCGCTCACCTGCTTGCCTGTCTGACTGCCCCGAACCACTCTGGCTGCTGGCTTGCTCGCCCCCAATTGCTTCCCCTTGCTGGCCTGCTCACCCCAAACTGCCCTCCCCCGCTGGCTTGACCACTCCCAACTGCCCTCCCCTCCTGGACTGATCACTCCTAACCATCTCTGCATCAGACCACCACCACAGCTTTGTTCAGAAGGATATCTGGGCAGGTTTCCCAGTCTAATTAGAATATTACCCTTTTATTAGAATAGATATGCCTGTGTTCCATGGTTTGGACATATCTTATTTTAGCCTCACAAAGTGCCCTAATGAGCCCATTTTATAGATGAACGAAGAGATACTCAGAGAGGTAATGTGACTTGCCTAAGGTCTCAGTTGGTGAGCAGCAGAGCCAGGATTTGAGCCTACGCTCTTAATGGTTATACACATGATAGCCTCTCCAGCTTCCTAAGTAACCTCAGGGTTATGGAGACAGAGAATTTGAGTCAACTGTGAAATTTACTTTCACAAATTGACACTGACAGCTGGTTCTAGATTCTGTCTGTCCATGGGTCATCCAGAACCCCTTTGTGACTAAAGTTCTTCAGGAGTCGGGAAAGTGGTTAGTGCTCCTCGAGTCAGGCTTTACTTTCCACAGATGAAAGCAATTCTCTGTGGGGGTGTGTACAAATTACAGCCATCGAGTCATCTGAATGTCTTCTCTGTCTCCTCACCCAGACCTCCTCCTCCCTTTCCATCGCAATTTCTGGCATTGTCACCCACCTAGTTACCAAGCTAAAAAGCTCCAAGTCATTTCTGAGTTCTCATCATGCCCTGGTGCCCCACATCCCACCTGTCCCCAGGTCCTGTCCACCCTGCCTTCCAATGGGCTCTCATTCCCCCGCCCCCTTTGGACAAACACTACTGTGCCAGATCAGACCCCGCAGTCTCCTGCCTGCCTCACTGTATCAGCCTCCCACAGACTTTCCTCACCACCGGCCACAATGCTTTCAGAATCTAAAACTGTTGTTTCAGGAGACCACATCTGTTTTCTGCTTTAAAAGTGTCCCTGGCTCCCTCTCAATAGAATTCCTAGAGCCTAAGCATGGCCTCCAGGGCCCTGTTACTCTAGCCCCAACCCTGTCTCAGGACACATCCCTTCATGCAGCCCACTGTGTGCCTCTGGGTTACTGATCAAGCTAGCATCTCCCAGGTATTCAGTTCCCTGTCATGCTCAGCACAGGCACTCTGCATTCATCACCCATCTGTCTGTGCCCAGTGTAAGCAGGTTCTGTGCCGGGCACCACAGGGTAATGAGGAAGATAATGCATGCTTAGTGATGTGCACCATGTGGGTGCTTCACAAACATCAGCTCAGTGAGCCTCCTATCACCTTGACCAGCCAGCCACTGTAAGCTCCATTTTACAGGTGAGGAAACTAAGGCTTAGAGACTGGTCCACTGAGGCACACCTGCCTTCCATACAAGCTGTAGGAAGCAAGGCAGCTATTGCACACAAATCGGGACCCTACCCACACAGAGCTGGAGCTCCAAGCCCTTGGCTGGCAAGAATGACTCTGAACGAATGGCTGACTTAATTTCTCTTCAACTGCATGTTGCTGGTACAAGCCAGGCAGGGGGCAGATTTCAAAAGCTACAGCCCCACCTTTAAATCTGGAACACTTCTCTTCCTCCAAAGCAAGTTTTAAGTTTCCTCGACAATCACACTACCAGGAGTAAAAGAAAATCTCTCCTGCCAGGAGGCTCCCGGGTCTGCAGAGATGTCCTCTGTGGACAGAGGCCTCATCAATAATGAAGCAGCTCCACAACCGCTTATGAGGCCAGAAAATTGCTGCTATTCATCAGCTTCAAAT